TTTTTTTTTTTTTTTTTTTAAAGAACCAGGATGCTGGGACTTGGTGGGGCAGCCAATGACAGGGCTGGGAGAGTGGGCGGGGGATGGGGCCTGTTTGATTTGGAGATTCAGCCAATTTGGCGGTGGTCGAATCTCCGAATCAGATTCAACTGAATCAATTCGGGACAGTGACTCACCAAATCACCAAACTGAATCGCTGTTCCCCGAAATTGTCCGAATCCAAAGCGAATACTAGCCACTTTGCACAGGTCTATCATTTACTGTGCAGTAACCAACATTACTGCACAATATGGGCACGCATCTACACGTGCACACCCATACTGCACAGTAAATATGATGACTTATGCTGACTCGCATATAAATTTGATACCTGCACTATGCAGGTATCAAATTTATGCCTGATTAGCTACTGCTCAGTAATACATGTGTAAACACCTTACTGCACAGTAACACTGTGTGTGTGGACTGACTTGGGACTAACTTTTGTCCCAAGTCAGACCACACACAGCAATAATGTGTTTTAATGCCTGCACATGTAGATGCTGGCCTATTCCCAGTTACTGCACAGTAATTTACTGCACAGTAAATTTAAGATGCCATAAATGCATGTGTAGACACACTCACAGTGAAGTAAATTTGGGCAAATTGCTTCAGCTATGCTTTGTAAATTGACAATTCATTGTAGCTCTTATGAAATATAATGTTCAGCTTTTGTAAGAAGCAACATAGTAGCATATATGCATTTGCAAATATGGATTATGTAGGACAGTTTTCATCAGTGGAGATGCATTTAGAAATCACAGTTCAGTGGTTTGTAATATATTCTGTATTTGTTTGGTTTAATTTTAGATTTATTATAGCATGTGAAGATGCCACTTATTAAAGTGCCAGTGGGACAAAATTTTGGAATACAGGCCAGTACACAACAGGATGAACTACTAAAGAGATTTTTGAAAAAAACATTGCTGAGTTGCAATGCAAAATCTAAGTAAGTGCAATTTAAATTGACTAAAAGATCACTCTGTAACTTACTCTACTGTATGTAACATAAGTTTGTAAGTTTCACTTTCTCTATGATTAACTTCCTGTAGAGAGTTCCTGAGTTAAGTAATACATTGCTATCTGCATAGTCACTCAACTCTGGAAGTCAGTATGACTTTAAAAATATGTAAATCACATTCATTAATAGCAGCACAGTGTTGGCAACCTTTGAGCAGTGGCAGGCTGAATTAAAGCAGTTGGTCTTATGCAAGCTGCCATCTGTAACCCAGTCCCCACCACTGCATACCATCCCATGCCCTAGATTTTCCACTACCATGGAATACTACCAACTCACTTCTGACCCGCTCATAGCTGATGTGCTTCCTCTGCTACCGAAAGTCACCTAATCACCCAGATACCAAACTGCCACCGCTGTCTCTTCTCCATGGGGTGGTTGCATTCCCTTTGTGGGCCAGATCCGGCCTGTGGGCTGTAGGTTACTGACCCCTACTACACAGACATTTCAGGGAAGCTTCTCTCAGCCACCTCTTCCTCTCCTAAGTGTGTGGAGATTTTTTTGAATGATTGATTATAAGATCTAGAACTGACATACTGAATGCAATATTAGCTCCTAATTTTCACATAACTTAGTACACTTTATCATTTAGTTGAAGACACAAAGTCTGATTTTCATGAGTATGTTTGCAGTGCAAATGGCTGACTTCTACAAGAAACACTTCCATTAGACTGTTGTGTAGGGACCAGAGACCCAGCAAAGATCAATCACTGAAGCTCAACTGAAATTTGGTCTCAAGGATGCAGTTTGGTAACTTGAAGTGGCTTGAAATCATTTAAAACCAGATCCTTAGCTAATGCAAATGAGCATAGCTACTTTCCAAATTCTCCAGGGTCTTACTAGACTCAGAAAATAGTAGGCCTGCAATCCCTATAGGCTCTTGTTTAAGACACTTTTTTTTTTCCTTCTGCTGGAAACAGTCTTAGCACAATACATAACATTTTGAAAAATACTGAGCTTGATCAAACAACCAGATTATTCTTTTCCATCTCGATTTGTATTATTTGATTCACAGTTTTTTTTTTTTTGCAATGAAATTGAGTTTTCAGAAGTGTAGGGTCTCAGATGAAATATGTACATTGAGTTTACAGCCTAAAAGTAAACCATTTAAATGGAATATGATCATAAGAGGTCTACAATAAAATACACAATTAAACTAGCAGATATATTCACTGATTTCCCCTTGAAAATCTTTTATTTCTGTCAGATTAATTGGTCTGCTGTTTGTTCTTTTGGTCAACACATGCAAAATTTATGAGGTACTGAATGATTTGACAGTGACTCAAACCTTTACAGAAATTTCTTGCTTGTCTTATAAAACTGATTCTTGGAAAAAGTAAAAACTGTACAGTGATTGCAAGGATCTCCTTAGTGATACAGGATCAAAAATGAAAAAAAATCATAACTTTTTTGCCTGGGAACATACTGACCAGGTGGAGGCTACCTTCTTTTGCCTATTTACTGCCAGTTTGACAACTCATTCTGTCCATTAACTCAGAAATGGAATAAGCAATATTCCTTCAGAGAAGTGCAGTATTGGTGGTACACTAGTATCAAATTTTACTTTTTATCTGGATCTGTGTGCAAAGTATGGACAGATCCTCTCAGGAAAAGTACAATATTTACTTGAGTACAAGATGAGGTTTTTTCTCCCAATCAGCACGGGGAAGGGAAAACCCTCATCTTATATTCACATACAAGGAAACCTCATTCTATACAGTGGGCACATCTACATGAGATGCTTAATACATAGTAGCCTAATAACACTGTGCAGTTGCATGCCACGCAAAAACCGTGCTAATACACTACTATACCGTAATATTAAGCTACTGCCCCATCCTTCATTCAATTTGTCCTTGTATAGGGTTGGCCTCCTAAGCCTTTCCCTTTTTCTTTTCTAAAAGAACACCATCAGTTCCTGTTGAATCCTACATGCACTGATCCACAATGGAGGGAACATCATACCTACATACAGTGTGACTGGGAGTACCACTGCCTTAACTACATTTACCTATCCTGCTACTGACAGCTTGTGAACATACCAGCTCCTCAGTTTTTGTTTCAGCTTCCCTTTCATTTTCTCCCAAGCCACTTCACCTGTCGTTGTGCATTCACCTCTACTCCCAATATCTTGATTTGGTCTGCTGTGACTTGTAACCCCACTTCTCCTATTCCTTCCATCTTCCCCACTGCTAGGTACTTGCTTTTTTGTATGTTTAGTACAAAGCTTTCCCACTCAAGCAGTAGTAGACTATAATGGGTTATTAAAAGGGGATAAACACACAACCCTAAATGGAACCTTATATATTAAGTATTGTCTAAAACAGTCCCTCTCAGACACTGCCAAATAAACACAAGGGAGCTACTACAGAGAACAGAGGGAGATACACCAAGGGCTGCTGTCTAGGGACTCTACTGTCTATACCAGATCAAGTGACAAGTGCTAGGTAAGGAGGCCTGTACTGGAGTTTGCTCTTTCTCTGTCTCTTCCATTGAAGTCACTGCTACTAGGAATTACTGGGCCAGGGATAATTACTACTCTACCACTGCTGCCAGGGGTCACATCTGCTCTACCACTAAGGATCCACTGTTCCTTGTCACAGATTTGTCACTCAGGATCACTGCTCCTCTTCAGGTTCCTTATGCAACCCCAACTCTTTTAAACCCTGACCTGACCAATAGGAGGCTCAGAAGTTTCAGCGCTTTTAGAAGTTGTGGGTAAGAGGTTTCCATATGAGCCCACTATAGAGAATTCTGCACAAAAAGCCCTTTCCCTTTGAAGAATTGATGGCCAACTGCAATGCCATCCTGTCAGGAATCTCTCCTGTTCTTCATGCACACTGTTTCCACTGTGGAATGGAGGACCACTTCACTGCAGACCTGTGCACAGATCACAGTGAGTGCAGACCTCATGAGCAGTCACTCACACATTAAGGCATAGGTAATGCGTAAGCACTGCCAGTGGGGTGGCACAACTCCGTGCTGCCACTGCAAGTGAGGGGATGCAACTCCGTACCTCCACCGCCACTTGGTTTCAGCCAGACAGCAGCCCTGCACCTGTGTCCCACCATCAGTGCAGAAATCTGGGGGGAAACAAGCCCCTTCATGCCCCCCTCAATGCATCACCAATGTATTAAGCGTTAATCGTTAATGTTATTTCTTGTCTGCACAGCTCTGGCTTGCCATTAGGGCTAGGGACAGAAGTTACACATAAACTGGTTTAAGTGATCAGAAATTGGTTTAAACCTGTAACAGAACAGAAGTTCAGTGCACTTAAGCCACTTTCAAAATGGCTAAAACTGGTCTAAGATAAACCTGGATGGATGTAGTATCAGATTAAACTCATTTAGATCAAACCTGTTTATAGAACCGGTCCCAGATCCCTTCCCAGTTCAAATTAACTTACTTGGTCCCAGGATGCTTTGTAGCCCTAGGCTGTGCTGTCTGCTTCAGCAGAGCAGGGTCTTCCCCACTCCTCTGCTCCCTAGTCAGAGCACTAGCACTCCTTTGACTGGTTGAGAGGGTGGAGGGGGGAAACCCTGCAGGAGGAGGGAGGGTAGGGGAGGAGAGAGGTCTTGGTTCCACTCTCAGGATCCTGGACCCAGGAGCAGGTCTGGGGTTCCCCAGCCACCCCCCCACCCACCTCAGTCTCTGGCTGGCTGACAGAGCTGGGGATGGCAGGGGAAGCCTGCACTTGGGCTTGGTTCCACCCCCCAAAGCTGAAACCCAGGACTGTAGCTGGAATTCCTCAGTCACACCCTGCTTCTCAGTTTGTGGCCGAGCTGGGAGATGGTATGGAAAGCCTGCATTGGGACTTGGCTCTGATCTCCAGACCACTGAGTTGGGGAAGGGGCATAATATTAGTAACTGCTGCACTGCAGCCAAACTACCACTGTCAATGCTTGCAAGGCAGCCACTGACGCTGTCCCATGCTGTGCCATCGCCCAAGGTGTGGATGTGCCAAGTTGTGCTTCTGAGCATTATAATCTTCCAGGTGGCCTGCACACAGATTAAATCATACAAATCATTAGTAATATTTTGAAACTGACAGGTTTTGCTTCTGAGCTGCATACTGTTTTTTACTATGGTAGTGCTCTGTCACTAGATTCTAATGTCTATATTTATAAAACCTTCCTTTTTGCAACAGTCAGGTATTGGTTAAACATAGCTACATTACTTTGTCATTAAATATTCATTAAAATGAGCTGTGGCAGACTGCAAGAAGCATCTAATTAAGGAGTTCTGTTTCTATACGTAAGGCTACAAATGGGCATTCTCCTTTCTTTTCAATAATGCATCATAGGCTGCAGTTAGTATCTGTAAAATAATTGATAAGGCAAAAGTTATTTGAAAATACATTCTAGAAATAGGAAAGTAGATTAGAGAAGATGATTTTGCTGTGGGACCTTCCTCTGACTTTGGGAAAAGTATAGCATCCTTTGATTTCATTTTTCCACAGCCTGAGGAAAGCTACAAAGCCATATCTAATTTTACAGTATTTTCCATGTCTGATATGTATTCTGTACCACAGAATCAGATGGAAAAAACATTTTTGCTGTTATTCACCTCCCAGCTAATACAAAATTGTAATGAAGGCTTGATCCAATGAAAAGACTCAATGGGCTTTAGATCAGGCTTGTATTTCTTATTTTCTTGCCAATGCACTGGTTCAGCCTCAGGGTACCAACAGACATAGTAACTGTACTGATATCAAATGATAGCTATGTAAGCTGTTAAGTTGTTACTGTTACATTCACATTCTCATATAGTGATTTAAGTGTAGCAAAACTGTTGCAACTTAGAATCTCTGGCTGCTTGTACACATGACAGGGGTTTAGTCCCCTAAATTGAAATGGTGGGTTTTTAATTGCAATGATTAAAAAGCCACCATTACAATTTAGGAGTTTTTGTTACCATTACAGTGAAGGGCCTGATCCTTTGTTTCCCCCCCTGTGGAGCCTTCCCACCTCTCCAGCAGCTGGGGGGTGAGCTGCCAGTAGGCTGAGCAACCCCTGAGCTGTGGGAGACCTCAGTCCCCCCTCCACAGCAGCTTTCCCTTATGGCAGTGGCTTCTCCTGGGGCTGTTCAGGCATGGTGTTAGCTGTGCAAGTGCTGCCCCAGCTCACAGGAAGCACCTACTGGATCCAATTCTTCCCCAAGTCCATGCAGGGACCAGTGCCTGGTGGGCTTCCAGCATGCAGGCTCAGGGAAAAGTTGGATCTGGCGGGTGCTGCCTGTGAGCTGGGGCAGCACCCAGCCCAACCCAGCTGTTCCCTGACCCAAAGCTGGGGCAGCATCTGCCCAGTAGCAGTCCTTCTGGGTGGCCCCAGGGGGTGCCACCACAGTGGAAGGAAGGACTAGGGCCCTCCACAGCTCAGAGGCCGTTCAGCCCACCGGCAGCTCACCCCCCAGCCATGGAAGACATGGGCAGGTTTCATAGGGAAAAAAAAAAGATCAGGCCCCTCACTGCTTCTGCCTTCAATCTACGGTGAGGAATGAGGGGGGAGCAAGCTGTCAAAGGCTGCAACATTACAAATAGCTACATTGCAAACTAAACAACATGCAGATGTGGTTTAGTTTGCAATGTAGCAAACTAAACCATCATTTAAATCATAAAAAACCCTTGCACGTGTACAGCGTGATGCAATTAAACTGCAAAACTGGCCAATATTTGTCATGTGTACAAGTGCCCATAAGAATAAAACTTTACCAGTTTCCTTCAGTGTTAAACTTTAATAACTGATTTAGCCAACTTGTATTACTATTGGAGCACGCAGATGTAACAGCTACAGGGTAACAGCAGATACATGCTCCAATGTACATTGGTTAAAAATGTAGCTATTTTTAACCAATAGCAGTGCCCCCTACCCATTTAAAGCAGCTAAAAGGGTATGTTTGTCCATAGCCTTAGATTATTAGTTTCCAAGGGTGTGTCTACACTACAGCTCAAGGTATGGTTGTAACCATTCCAGTCTATCAAATCTGAGAACCAATAGCAGTGAAGTTGTGGTGGCACATACTCCAGTCTGGGCTAACTAACTGTGTGTATACCCAGAATCAGCCTACTCTGAATCTCATGCTGCTCAGTCTTCATTGTTATAGGTACCTCAGCTAGCTAGCTCAGATTTACCTACATGTGTACTGCAATTACACCTAGTTGTAGTGCACACATACTTTAAATTATAAATAGACTCATACACCAGTGACCACCAGTAATAAGAAAACTGGGGAATCAGATAAGCTCTATTGATCAAGCATTCCTTGTGAGACAAGGGTTGGGGGACAAGGTGGACTTACCATTACTGCATTCTCTGTACTTAGGATGTGGCTGGGACCAGCCTGGGATCTGCTGTAAGTTACTACAGCATGAAGCATACACATGCTTCTTTCTGGAAGATTTAAATTTTAATTATTGCCTCATATACATTTCACCTCCTGCCACTGACTGATTAATTACTGCCTGCCTTAATTTATTGATGTTAGTCTTAATTCACCACTTTGCTTGATTGCTAATGTCAAGTCCCTGTTTCTGAGCATACCTACTGATGATTATGAAGACCCACTGTACCATGTACAAGCTCAGCCTAAATTGTGTGGTATACTGGTGCAGCAGACTGGAGCTTGTATGGCAAATCTCCCTTAAATTAAAAATGTAGGCTTTAATTGAATTAAACACAAAAAGAGTACTGCAACCAATACAGTCTTTCTTGTGTCATTTAATCAGAGATTAAATGGTAGTTTCTTTTGCTGTCCCTATACTTAAAATATTTAGTGTGATGCAGAATTTTGTATTGACAAAGCTGTCAAGGAAGGAAGCCTGCAGTTGTGGCAGCTTGGCACAGGACAGCCGCAGTTTTGGAACTTTGCAAAGCATAAAAGCGCAGTCTGAGGACATGTCTACACAACTGGGATTGCAATTTACTGTACACATACACAAACTAGCTTTAACAAATCAGGCAGTTTAGCTATTAGTAGCAGGACAGAGCTCAGTACAGGCTAATTTACCCAGGTTCTTGGAGAGCTGTTTGAGTGTGCACTGATCTGTGCTGCCATATCCAGGTTTCTATGAGTGCCTGAGCTAGATACTTTATTAAGATTTGGGATATGTTTTCAGACCCAAGCTAGTTTTGGATTATCTCGGGGAGCAATAACATACCTAACTTTGACTTAATTTTTAAAATTTACTTTATAAAAGGAAGTGAAAAAATTCTTTTTTGGAAACTTTTTCACTCAGTATTTTGAACTTCAGGAAGAGAAAATGAAACTACAATAATTGTTTGGATATTTCTTTAGATATCCTTTAGAAGTCACAGAAGAGTTTGTTCAGAAGTTCAATCGTGCAAAAAGTCCAAAGGATAAAGAATCTTTACTAGAAACAGCCAAAAAAATGCTAGCCAGATGTAAGGTCAGTATACAAAATAACACTCTGTAATGTGTATATACTATATACATAGTATTCTAAATCATTAATTCCTTTTGTCATTTTTCATTTCCATCAATATATCTCTTATCATAAACCAAAGGTAGCAAAAATGTTTAAAGCTTTCATTTTTTAAAAAAGATTGAGAATATAAAGTTTACAATGAAAAGAAAACTGCAAAGTTAGGCACATAGCAGTTAAAGTATGTGAACAGTTCCGCTGATGTTTTATTACTTTTTTTCTTTTCTTTTTGAACAAATATGGTGGTTGTGTACTGGGAAAAAATCTTTTTCTACCAGACATTCTTCATTCAAAGCTCCCTATTTCAAAGGCTATCCAAGCACATTATTTACTAGTGTCCTCATTCAAGTCCAAGTTAAGTCAATGGCTAGACTCCTCTTTACTTGAATGCACCCAGTCTCCTCTATGAGACTGAAAAGGGGGTTTATTAGGGAGAAACAGTTATGGCTCCCTGATTTTGTGTTGGGCCCTAACAGTGTTGAACAACAGTTTTACTTCAGTGGAATTATGCCAGTTTTTACATTTCTGAAGATCTGGTCCTATAAATGGTGATTTTGGACTACTCCAACTGCTTTAGAAAGAAAATGAATAGTAAAATTCTCAACAGAAATTAGCATTACCAGAACTTCTCCTCTTAGAGAGAAAAGCCATTGAGTCCCTAAGATCCAGCAACCAAATACTAGTCAACTCACGGGCAGTAAGCAAGGAAGGACCTCCTCAATTGTCATGCCTGTATCAATGAAACTAACGGACAACTTTGATGCCAAGTACTATAAAGAACTTGGGGAGAACCTCATGCCAACATTTACCCTTGAACTCAAAAACATCATCAAATCCTTTCTGGGCCAGCTTCAGAAAAAAACTGTATACACTAATCTCCACCTCTCCCACCCCAGAGATATTTGACATGCTCCCAAAGATACGCAAACAAGGTAACTCTGGCAGACCTGTCATATCAAACTGTTAGCTTCCCTGAAGAACTACCAAGATTCATAGAAACTATCCTTAAACCACTTGTCACTCAAAGAACAAGTTTTTTGCAAGACATGATAGATTTTCTTGACAAGATCCAGAACACCAAGGCCAGGATTTGCAACCTTGGATATCACCAGCCTATACTCTAATATCCCAGACAAATAACATGCACCATAAAGGCACAGCTGCCTGCCTGAAATACCTGCAAGAGTATGAACTACAGTGAGATTTACAATTGCAACATATTGTACAAATCATCCGCCTCATTCTCACCCACAGTAACTTCACTTCCAGCAACCTCTGTTCCTCCTAACAATAGGCACAGCTCTGGGCACAAAGTTGGCTCCCCTAATATGTCAATCTTTTCATGAGCCGTTTTTAAGAAAAAAAAATGGAAAACTGCACCATCAAACATGCATAATACCCATGCTATGTAGATGATATTATCATCACTTGGACTCACTGATTTCTTTCAGAGCTTCAGCAACTACCACCCCTGGATCAAATTCTCTCTAAAATACTCCTGGACTATCATCAGCTTTCTAGATATAACAATACATATCCAGAATGGCACACTGCAAACCACTATGTACAAAAAACCCACACTTACATCTACAAAATCAACAGACATCCCAAACTCACCAAGAAAGCTTCACTATATAGCCAGGTCCTCAGATACCGTTACATCTGCTCTGAAAAGAACATTTGTGACACCCACTTCACCAACTGAAAAACTGGCTTTACTTAGAAAGGATATTTCAGCAGATGAATAGACTGCATCTTGGAAAAAACACCCAAATAACCCTCACTAACTTCCTACAATGCAGAAAGAGAACCTCCACTGACCACACACCTCTGCTTGTCATGTATGTCCTATACTGAAACTTAGTTACAGCTTATACTCAGAAAGACTTTGATGGAAATATTCCCAACCCCTTTCCTCCCGACTTTCAAATAATCTCCAAACCTTGCTCAACTGATCAGCAGAAACTTCATTGCTCAGCTGATCAGCAGAAACTCAACAAACACAAACTAGTACATAATCCTGCCTGTAAACACATCTCCACAGCCACCCTAACCAATAGTCCTCATGACAAAACCATCAGAACCTACAAATCCTACACGTTTATCACAGAATAATATGGTATACTTCATCCAATGCACTAAATGCCTCACAGGAACTATGCACATGAAACTAAATAACCAATATGCTCCAAAATAAATAATCACGGAAAAAAGATAAAAGACAGAGACATCAGATCACTAGTAGGACAAAACTTCACAGAACAGTCAATTGATTTCTGACTTCATAATTCTTATACTCAAGGACAATCTACAAAAGACCTTCAGAAGAAGGGTCTGGGAAGAAAACTTTCATAGCTTTACTAGATGCTAATGACTTGGACTAAATGTAAGTGCTGGTTTCATGATTTATAAGACTCTAACTAGTGTGTCTTTTAGCCCTTCAATATTCCACAGGTAATAACTGTCTTTTTCTGTTCTGAATGGTCTTGTTCTTTTACATAATTAGATTATCTATTCAGCTAAGTTTCTGTTGCTTCAAAGTTAGTCCTGATAACTTCTCTTTGCTCCTAGTTTACAGATCTCTTCCACACTCTTAACTGTCTTTTTTCTTTTTCCCATGGGGCACTTGTGCCTGAAAGATTGTCTAACATCTCTCCCAACTATGTAGTTGGTCCTATAAAACATATCACCAAAATCTTGCTTCTTACTTAATGAGACATAGTGCTTCCACCATATATAGGTACCGGTGTTTCTGATTCTGTTAATCCCATTTAGGATGACTTTTTGTATATTAAGAGAGGAGCATCTTAGGGACAAGGTTATAGAATTATAGCAAAATAGGTCTGGAAAGGACGTCATGAGATTATCTAGTCCAACTCCATGCTCAAGGCAGGATCATCCCTATCTAAACCATCCTAGACAAGTGTACGTCTAACTTATTCTTGAAAATGCACAAATGATACTCTTGCACAACTACCAGGCACAATGCCCTCCCTCCCCACAAACACCAAGAACACTTTAACCTGCTACAAGTAAACCATGGGGATGAGGGCACTGTCAGTATTCTGCCACTGCAAGAACAGAAGTAGTTTATTAAAATACCCTTAAGAGATCCAAGGAAGAGGACCAAGTCCTCTGCTACCAAATGCAAAGACTCCCACAATCTATGCTGATCTGACCATGGGGTAAAATTCTTTTGATCCCAAATGTGGTGGATACTTTGACCTTGAGTGGAGGAGCAAGACCTTCTAACCAGGAACCTCCAGACTTTTTAGTGTGAGCAGGGACATTGGCACACCTCACTCAAAATATGCAGTGTTGGCTGCAGCCAAAACCCAGTTCTTCTGAGGAAGGTGAATCACCTCCCCCTTGTATCTTTAGCAATGAGGGTGAAAAGAAGACTTCCCATCTTTATATAGTAACCAGCAAATCCCAGAAACGTGTAAATTAAAAATGGGGAAAATCTAACACCCTCCATTCTGCACTACAACTTGGGGACTGCAAACAAATCCTAAACATGACACCCCCTAACTGGAGAACCAGAACTCCACTTTCTGTCATCCAGCCCCCTTCATAAATTTATTCCAAAGCTGGTTGTAGAGTTCCGCTTCCTTATGCTGCTGCTGGCCGTGATCCTTTCCAATTTTCACCTGTTCTGGGCTGCAGAGCTTTTTGTGATTTCTAAGCAATGCCTATGTCAGGGTGTCCCAGGCTTCCTATTGTTGATCTTCACAGCACACTCCAGGTATTACTATTCTTAGATCATCCCTATTCAATGTTTATCCAAGCTTTTCTTGAAAATCCCCAGTGGAGGAGATCTGACAGCTTCCTAGGCACTCTATTCCACTGCCTCGCTGTTCTCACAGTAAAGAAGTTTTTCCCAATGGCCATGCAAACCCACTTCATGGCACGTTCAGGTCGTTCTACAAGTCCTACTCTGCAGTGATAGAGAAAAGATGTTGACCCTTTTTGTCAGCTATTTGAAGACTGCTATCTTGTCCCCTTTAAATTGCTTTTTTCTGCAAGTTAAACACACCTATTTTATTCCACCATTTCTCACATGGCTTATCTTCCAAGCCTTTTCTAATTTTTGGCACCTTTCTTTGGACCCTGTGTGACTTATTTTTAAAAAGTTGAACCCAGAACTGCACACAATACCATAGGTGATGTATAGGGGAGCATGGGGAAGGCATGTGCCCCCCCCCCACAGGGCTGTCCCCAGTGCCACCACCGCCGCTGCCTATGGATGTGCGGCAGCTCTCTCCCCACCGCCAACACCGCTGGCAGCTTCTGCAGATGCCCCCCCAGACTCAGGAGGCACCAGTTGCCCATGTGCTATTGTCTAGCTGAGGCCTAACCAGTGCCAAATAAAGTGGCACTATCACCTCCCATGTCTTATACCTCACAGTCCGGCTGAAGCAGCCCACAACTCCATTCCACTTTTTACAGCTTCATCACATTGCAGACTTACGTTGAATCTATGATCCACCAACCCCCCTAGAGCAAGGCACCTCAAATTGTGGACATATAAATGAAACCGGAGAAAACATTGGGTATATACTCCTAAACAGTATGTGTACTTTTGGGACTTCTTTCCCCATGGAAATGTCCACATGGCTCGGATAGTGAACTCTTCGGGAACATGATACCACTAGCAGGCAAGAGGGGATTTAGAGGATTTGGGATTAGAACCACTGCCCTTTTTCTAATATGAGAGTCAAATAATGGGAAGGTTATCCTGCCAAGCTGCAAGCAGAAGATTTTTACTATATTTTTTTTCCTCACAGACTCTTTCATGTCTTAGGGTTTTTCTGTAGTTACCACGTAGTGCTAAATTTCTTCCCAAGGAAACTGAGAAAGTCTTCAAAAACAACAAGCCCTGTCAGCTCAATGTCACTCTTCAACCTGAATCTACCCTGCATTAATGCAACCACTGTTAAGCAGAAATGTGTTTTCAAATGATTTGTCTTTCTTATGGTACGCATCATATACTATTACTTTGGAGTCTGCCAGCTCCACTTCCATTTTTTAAAAGCAAAGCTAAGGGTTTTGTTGGAAGAAAGGACTGTGGTAGATGACAGGAGCAACAGGAAAGTGCAAGTTAAATTGGATAATTAATATCTATGCTCTCACATTTTCCTTATCACCAGTATTGTAATATAATATCAAGTTAATCAATACAGGGGCTGGCATTTAGTTCATCTGTTGCCTGAATGCCTTAGGTCTTGATCTTATGCTAGCTTAATGCTTGAAAAATTAAAACTCGAGAATTTATAGAGTAGTTTACTAGTTTGTAATTGAATAGACTTATTTTAAGTTTCTACAAGAGAACTTTCCACAATGTTGTGAAATGTTATTTAGCTGTAATACTGCTCTAATGTGGTTTTATATTTCATTTTGTTCTGTTCATTTAAATGTTTGCAACTGTTTTGAAAGGATAAAACAGTAAACACAGCATTTAGAGACCCCTAAATGATTCCTTGTGGACTTAGAAAGCCAAAAATAGATAGTGTGTAGAAACAGAGTGGTCATTCATATTGAAAAGACATAAAAAAGCAATATACTTGCCGTTTAATAAACCCTAAAGAGAAGGCTGTGGTGCTTATACAATCTCTGCAACTATCCAAATGAAAAATGTATACATTATGAAGCACACTGAGGGCCTTATTTGCAAATCATGCTTTTTATTTTGAGAGTTATCTTTTTTTCCCCTTCCGATGGATCTCTTTGGCAGCGAAGGTGCATTGACTAACAGTATTCAATAAAACCGCTTTCAGAATTGGCAACCTTGCTGAGGGAATTTTGTGATGTTTGGCTGATTTCACACTTGAGCATAGATACGCTTTTTGACCAAATTATTGCTGGATTTTTTTCAGTGCTGCAAGAATGCTTGATATTGCATCCAGTAATAAAGCAGCAGCCTCTTTCAGCATTGGGAACAGGAATTTAGAGTTGGAAAACTGCCTCAGCATACTACATTTACTGATGCTGTTAATTCTGTCAGCTTTGGTGTCCAAAAGACGTTGCCTTCCCATCCTGTGCTGACTATGCCAATGCAAAATTTGGGATGAGATGAGAAGGGTTTATTTTATTGTCCACTATGGAATTCTTAGTGCAAAAAGCCAGTTAATATTCCCAGTTGCAACCAGTTGCTGAAACAGAGATAGGAATATAAATGAAAGAATATCCAAATACAATGTGTTTCCATTGTACATACCAAAACCAAGTGTATGAAAAATGTTATGAAAATCAGAGGTAATATACCTTATGTGTTCCTTGTTTAATCACAAGTACTAAACAGATAATAGCCTACATTTTGGATGCAAAACCCTCCATAAATAGGGCACCCATTGGGCTGTAAAGAGTAGGAATTGCTAAAAGCTAAAGTTTCAGGGATGTGTATTCTCATGACAACATATTTTCACAGTCCCCAACAATTTTGATCCCTCTGAGCTTGTAATAAGGGTACTTTTCTATTAACTTAGCTGGAGCCACTACTGTGATTCAGAGATAGTAATTAATTGTTATTGTTGTAAGATATTAAAGATGGATAATAATGCTATAATTAGAGTTATGCAGCCCTACTTTTATCTAAGTTTTAACTCTAGGGATTAAGTGTTGCTACCTCATTAGGTCCTGCTATTGTGCTTTGCATCAGTAAACTCTTACTAATGTTGTTTTTAAAATATGCACTGTTATTTTAAATATTTTGGCTTAAGAAAAGTTTCACTGTATATTAAATAGACCAACCCCCCCCAACCAAAACAACCCCACTTTTGACTTTTCTTTTGACTGTCACTCTTTTTCTTTAAAACAGAGAAGATTAGGAATTAACATGTTAAGTTCTGGAAAACATGTGGATCTTATGAGAGGCTGGACTGAAGCACTTATATTGGTGCACTGCAGTGGTAAAATCCAAGAAGGTACAATGTGCTTAACTATATTTCTTTTAATTACTTCATGCTCTTTCTGACCCAGCTGCCAAAGCAAAATTTAATTACTCCCAGCTATAAAAACCTGAAAGAAAGCCAAGATGAAGTAGGCTTTATGTCTTACCTGCAGAAAGAAACTTTACAAAAATATACTAATATTGTCACTTTAGCATTTACACACAATGTTTCAGAGTCTTCTATTTTTATGCTTAATTTCCTAAATTGCAGAATCATTTTCATATAAGCACCGCTCATTTTTTATTTCCTTTCTCATGGTATTACCTTGTAACCTGTCTCTGAAATTGGTTATCAATTAAGAGTAATTTAAAAAGTCATTTAATGATCTCAAAGTGCTTCATATAACTTCTTTTATACTTTTTGTTCAACTATTCCCACTAATAAAACTGGAGAATATTAGCTTGGTTCTCCAGATATTTGAAATAAAAATGTTATCTCTACAGTTTTTCAAACTAAAAACATCATAATCACTGTAGCCCTTGTTTTGTAGAATGAAATAAAGAGTGATAGACAGCTATACTCATGGATACACTGATTTATTTTCACTATTTTACTGGCATATAGAATGTTAGCTAGAATAAGATTTATGTTAATAATGTCCTGGCAGATAAGTTAAATGAAATAGTTGTCATATGTACCTTAGGTTTTTTGGTTAGGTTGAAGAGAAAGCACAATAATAGAATGGCTAAAGAAAAGATCATTCAACCCTGCATATATGAAACAGAAATGATGGATGAGCGTATATGTAACAGCTATGATCTACAGTTCGCACAGCAGAGATGTAGGACAAAGCAAAGTCACTTCATTTCTATTTTATACTTTGTGCAGTCTTAGTATTTTGTATGGGGTCATTCCAAAGGTAAAATGGGACTTTACATAAGCCTGCCTGTAGAACAGGGGTGGGCAATTATTTCTGCTGGAGGGCCACTTAATGTGTTTTGGGGACCTGTTGAGGACCACATCCATCCCTATCGCTCTTTCTGTTACCTGCTCCTTCTCCTCTCCCTCTCTCTGTCTCTCCTCTCTCTCTCCCCCTCCTTCCATCCCTCCCTCCCCGCTCTCTCTCTCCAGAACTCGACTGGAGCTCTAGTTTATCAGGAGCCATGAAGCTCAACCATGGACTCAAATGGGGACTTCCACCGCAGCAGGAGCACAGTGGTGCCAGTTGTGGGTGCAGCCAGCAGGTTCCCAAACCCTGACATGGAACCTGCCAGCAGCATCATAGGTGATGATACCAGCCACCTGGTGCAGCAGCACCTCTTACCTGGGTCCATAGCTAATGCTACTGTCAGGCTTAGGGTTGGGGCTCTGGGCGGGAGCTTCCACTGTACTGGGAGGGTGGTGGCGTCACCTGTGGACACCACTGGTAGGTTCTGTGTTGGGACTTCTGAACCTGCCAGCGGTTCAGGTTGCTGCTGCCCATCTGCTGTGGCAGAAGCCCTGCTCAGGTCCACAGCTGATGTCCCCACATCAAGGGCTGATGCTGCTAGGTGGAACCAGTCCCACCTACCTGCCTGGCACCATGTAGCAGCTGGAGCTCCCAGCCACCCACACATCAGATCCAGTGAGCTGGCAGCTGTCCACCTGTGGGCCGGAACGAATCTGTTGGCAGGCTGGATGCAGCCCACAGGCCATATTTTGCCCACCCCTGCTCTAGAATGGTATTGTCTATCATGATCCTGGGATATTATGGGGGAATATTCTCTACATTTACCAAGTTACCAGATCATTATTGCAAGGTCTTCACTTCTAGTTCAGTTTTTCATGGCATTTTGAGCAACTGTTTGGACAAAATGAAAAAGGAAATCTGTAAAGGAAAAAGAAAATTCTACATCATGACTGTGAAAGCAATATCCAGGGTACTATACAAGTCTTTTTTGTTTCTATCAGCTGGGTATTCTTGGGGGTTTCTGCAATCAAGAGAAATACTCCTCAAGAGGAAAAGAAAAATCAAAACAGATTGGTGTGCAGAGAGTTTTGTGCTCCTCCTTGTTTAGTGATAGCAGGATGACTGCTACATTATTTCTCTCATAACTGGCAGGGTTTGATTAAAGACATTGAAATCTAAGGCACAGGACTGGAGAGTTAACTTTTTCCATGTTCGTTCAGGTCTAAAAATTCTGTATTTTATGATGACATTGCTGTCTTCAGTTACACACTTGCTTGCACCCCATTTACACCTTGATGTAAATTAAAGTTAAGTGAGGTAAGCCAATGATGCATATGTTTCTGTATGCTTTGAAAAAGATGACCTCTGCCAGAAACAGGAAGTTCGAGAAGGAAGTGTTAAATAAAATAGCTAATCTGGAAACCAAGGTTGATAGATGTAAAATTTAGGGAAGAGAAACAAAGGAAGGGATCTCAGCTGAAGAGAGGTTATTGTCACTAGAAATAACTGGTGACTTGGAATACAAGCTGGAGATGAAAACTATCAACGTTCTAGTACTGTGCATTCTACTTACAAACTTTCAGTCTGGTTTGATGATCTGAAACAGGTTTGTATAACTTTGAAGGTCTACCTTCAAAACACTTGTAGACAGGGGAAGGAGTGCTGTTGGAAAAATATGGAAACCTTTTTCCAGATGCATAACTAATTATTTTTGCACCCTAGACAGAAATGACAGAGAGCAGAGGGGAGGGGAGGAAGGGGTGCTGGAGGGATCAGGGAGATTGTGTCAAATGCCAGAAAATAGGGGGCAGGGGGCACTGAGCTGCTTCAGGCTCTCCACACACAGGCCTCTAAATAAGTGCTTAAGGCGGGTACCCTGCTTGGCCTGTTGCCTTTTTTTTCCTGTTAGGCCAACTGGCCAGCCTCTTTTAATTCAAATTATTCCTCAAACATACTAATTAAGATCAGTCTACCATCTGCAAGCAAATAAGTACTGAATTATTTAAAAAGTAATAATACAGTAGCTGCACCACTTAATAATAAATACGTACACTGGTCAACAGATAAATTACATGTCTGAATTGTTTTGTCTGTCTGTTTAGGCCATAATCGTGCAACACAATCTGTAAGCATACAGTCTTATGCCCTCAAGGAATACCTTGAGGCAGGGAACTGTTTCATCCACGTACAAGCCTCCATTTATCATTCAATAAATAACAGCAAAAGTATACCATTTTTACTGATTGCAAAGAGAAAAGGCTTTGACATAATGAAACAAAGATATATCTTCTTCAGTGTTTTGGAGAAGAGAAATACTTTTTTAAAAGTCCTGGGAGCTAGGAAGGAGCAAGGATGTATAGGTAATTATAAACTCTTTTGGCCAAGGACTGTTATTTATTAAATATTTGTATTGTTCTAGCAAAATGGGTTCTCACCCTAGCTGAGACCTTTGGGAACTACTGCATTATAAATAATAACAACACACCTATATATTTGGATGAGTGAAGGAGGCTGAAAAATTTATTAGGACTAAGATTGATTCTTTCATCATATAACATATGGATGATCAAAGTGGAGAAAGGGAGCGCTGAACTCAGAAGATTTGTGTGGGACTGTGATTTCACTCATCCGTGCAGGATTTGTGGTATTTTGTTTTTCATTCTACAGACTTTAGAGGTTGACTTAAATTGTGTTAAGTCAAGACTGAGGTATGACAGGAAAATTTGGAGAAATTTGCATAGTGATTGCTTGGCTAAATTTTGCCAATGGGATCTATAAATCTGTCACTTTAAAGACCACAAGATTCACACAAATCTTTAACCAAAATTGAGAAAAGTCATTATTTAATAACAGAAATAGTTAAAGACCAATTTAACAACCTTTTCAACCATAAAGAGCAATCCTGCCTTTTCAGCCATAATTTTGTATGGGCCATTTCATTGACAGCAAAAAAGATCAGCACATCTAGCAAAAATGGATACTGTACAAACTTTCTAAAAATATGTCATTCTTTCAAGAAATAACTTGCATTATTACACCTTTTCAGTACCCAGTTTAATATTATTCTTTCAGATTTAGAATTTTTCAGTAACTGATGAATACAGATTATTAGAGAGGTTTCAGTTGTTCTGGAGTACAAACTTAAAAAAACCATCAAGTAAACTTTGTTGTCTTATTTTTGTTCATAATTAAGCAAGTGCTTGATGCTTGTGGAAACTGTGAATGAATATAGTGTATGAGGTATAAATCACGGGTCTCTTAGCACTGAGCATGAATGAAATAATTCTCCATTTTGTTTCTGCTTTAGAGGCTTTGGATCTCCTTCTAGTTTCTTTAGACCAAGCTCCAATACATCTGGAACATATCCCTGTCTTACTTTCTATTGCTGAATCCGTTTTATTCCGTCTCTCTCTTGATGTGGCATGGGAACATTACTTATACTCAACGGAAGTCAAGTTCTCAAAGGTTACAGTACTTTTAAAAGTCTTTATTAAGATTTCTTGTTATAAATATGTATATTTTATATAATTGTATCCTAATTCTACTATACTGATGACATGAAATCTATTAAATAACTGGATTTGCGTAATTATAAATGAAAACAGAATGTGACCCAATTTGTCACATGACTTTAAAGTTTTAGTATTTTATAGTTTTGTTTGATGCAGGCTTGTGCTATAATTTGCTTTAATCTTAATTTTTCTCTATCTCTGAATACCAAATATCTCTGAGAAGTCACAAAAAGACATTAGGAAAATACAATTTAATCTTCCACAGAGTATTTAATGAGGCACTATAAAATGCATATGAAAGTCTCTACATTTTTGTCCATAATGCATAATGTTAACTTGGATTTCTTCATAATTTCAGTGACAGTCTTGCATAATGTGTGGCTCTCTTGCTAAATTATGTGAACTCTTTATTCTCCCATCTGGACTATCATTAACTGAGATACAATATGTCAAGTTATACAGTCTTAATTCAGCAGCAAGACAGTTATGAATTTAAGAAAAAGGATGATATTGAGGTAATGCAAATGGGAATGATCCAAATGAGGGCAATCTCTTCTCAAAGCTAAGCAAGTAAATCCAAACTGTGTAGCAGAAGACTCACTGGGCATGTCTACACAAGGTGCTTAACTGTGAAGTAGCATAGTTTAGTGTGAGGTAAGGGCATGTGTCTACGTGTGCGCAATTTTACTGCTCAGTTAAATTTCAATTCTACTCAATTAATTGTGAGTAATTTTGGTACCTGCATTTGCCTGCATACTGCCCTCGGTCCAGCACCACCCAACCCCCCAACTTGGGCTCAGGTCTGCTACTTGCCACGGCTCTATGCGGGCATAGAGCCAGAGCTGCCTGCAGGGGGGCCAAGACCACATTATGGCCCTGCTGGCTGTGGACACTGCCTGCCAGAGGGGGAGCACTGGCCACTGTAACTCCTGAGCAAGCCTTCTGCCCACCATACTTGCCACAGAGTCTACACCCACTGGGGAATGGCCAGAGGCTGGGATGCTGGCCACCTGTCTCCAAGCTCTATCCCCTAGTTGCTGCATCCCACAGCCCACTGCCCCAGGGTGGCACACAAAGGACATTGTACCTAGTTTTCACAGGGAAGAAGATTGTTTATTGTTGGTGGATGATGTGGATGGTGAAGGGGCTCTGTTGGGGTGGGGGTGGCTCTGGTTGATGTGAGGGGAATAAAAACTTGTTCTTCTGAGATGCATCTACAGTGAGCATGGTGCTAAGTTTGGGAAGAGGGGACAGTCTGTGGGTGGCAGTGCAGGTGGTCTGTAGTGGGATGTGCTGGAGGAGATGGTTAGCCACTGCCTCCTGCACCCTGGCCCCCATTGGTAGGTATGTGGCTCTCCTGGGGCTTTGGTGGGGGAGGCACTGCTGCTGCTGCACACTGCTGCCAGGCGTCCTCCACGTGCCATGCCTCCTTGGCCCAGACCTTGTGGAAGAGCTCCCTCTGGGGCTCATTAATGTTATGCAGCATGTAGGCTGTGATGATGACCTGAGGGAGGTTGTCTCTTTGCAATGATGACCCAAGGGAGGTGAACTCAAGGTGGGTAGTGAGGGTGCACTAGCAGACCTTGAGGTGCCTGAAGGTGCACTCCATCAGGGTGTGGATCTGGCCCAGGCAGTGATTAAAGTGGGCCTAGCAGGGGTCCAGCTGGCCAGTATAGGGCTGCATAATCCAGGGCAGGAGTTGGTAACCAGCATCCTCAGGGCTCGGTCCTGGAGCCCGCACTGTTCAACATCTGCATCAGTGACTTGGACAAGGGGGTAAAAAACACCCTGTTCAAATTTGC